AGATGATCCAAGATGATCTAGTATGACAATCTTAATGTTGTATGATGCTATGGTTCTTGCTTAAAAGATCTTTCCTTATCTTTCCTTTTTGCTTAAAAGTTTGTTTGGCTCTTTGATGTTTGAGCTCTTTTCTCATGCAATGCTTGACGAACCAAGATAGCAATTGTGTATGTGATGACAACTTTGTGACACAAGAGATGATACCAATATATTCAACAATGATGTATGCATGCTATGGGAAGTATGATAACTAATGTGCACAAGTCTCGTTGCCGGCAATACTCAATGGCTAGTCTCGAAGGGTAAGCAACGCAAAGGAGTAAGGCTATGATGGCTATCAAAGTAATGGCAAGAATGATGTATCATGATACCAAGACGAGGTTACCGTTCTTCCTTACGGTATGGTGTCAAAATGGTGGACCGAATACCAAGATGTAGTTGAGGTGGTCGTTGTTGATGACGTGTCCGTGGAGAAGATGAGTGGCGGTGATGTTGATGTTGAACCGTACCTAGATAGCCCAAACACAAAAGGATACGGAACCGCAACTCAAATTCTCAAAGCTCGAAGTGGAAACACGTGTCAGCGTATGAAACGGGTAAGCAAAGGTGGTGGTATGCGGAAGTGGTGATGGTGTATAGGTGGTAGAAGTGCGTATGCAGAAATGTGGGGCAGTGGTGGTGACTAACTGAAGAAAAAAATCAGTTTCGTCAGGGTTCGCCGGACGTCCGGGCTGGGCCGGTTGTCCGGTCGTCGGACGTCCGGTAGGGGTCGAGCGTCCGGTGCCTGGGCGAACTTTGGGCACGGGATGAACATCTAGGGTTCGTGGTGGAGATGTGGATATTCGTCGAATCCGGAGGATTTTGTGGATGGAAAGGGTGGAGACACTACAAGAAATATGTCAACTAGTGACCTTCTGTCAGTGACCCTGGAAGAATTGGTCATAGATCTATGACCATTTCAGACCAATTGGTCAAAAGCTGTTCGGGGGGCTCCAAACCCTAAACTATAACGACCATTTTGGTCAGAAAGGTCGTAATTTCCTTACACGAAATGGTCATAAAGCAGATAGCACTGATCTGCTGCCTTATTTCTAGCTGATCATGACCAATATAGATGGTCATAACCTTGTAAATTGTGGTGGGTTGCTATGACTAGGCGCCACCTCATCGGTTTTGCCTATGTGTCATGTCCCTGTGGCAGTTTTTGCCCTAGGTTGTGAAGCAACCTATATTTCTGTCATTCCCAAAATTCCCAAAAAAGCCTCATAAATTCTTTCGGTCATATCTTTGTCCAATATGTAAAAAACCTTCCTTGCCTAGTTCAAAAATAATTCAACAATATTCATTTTCCTATTCTGTTCAGAACAACAGTTTGTGAAGGAAGTACCACTTTGGCATGTCCAAATAGTATCCATTTTTTACAGTGCTTTCCTATGCCCAAATAACCATCCTCCACCAAATGCCAGCTCAATACATTCATTATTTTGAGCCGAGCTTCAACATTCGTATTTATGTCTAGTGTGGTAGTTTGCAAAGCAAGTACCACCTAGGCTCCTCCTTTTGAGCTGAAAATTTGTGAAGACGGTCTTCTTAGTAACTGATCATCCTCAGCCAAAACTCACGCCCATTAGCCATGTACATTTCTCGTACCGCTAATCAAACACTTGGCTGCTAATTCATGTTTGAGCATCGATCGGTCTCCTCGTGAGAATCTTATGTTGTAATTTTCTTCCTAGCACCTACCTGGGGAGTGCCCAACGCAGTAGACATGCCTAGGCTTCCCAGAACACATGGCAATGCCACGGTCACGCGGTGACCATGCGGCGGGCATGCGAGTTTACGCGCTCTAGAGTTGGGGGCCTCGGCCACCGTCCAAACCTCGACGTATCGCCACCAAACCATGTATTTATGATTAAATAGGTATTTATGTAACTAGAAATGATTTTTGAAAAAATAAATAGCTAACTATGAGGCAGCTGCAGTTCAAATTTGACCCGCTTCCTACTGAATCGGCGGGAATTTGTCTTTTTCACCAGAGGTGGATCAAAACTTTTGACACCCAACCATTTTGTCAATTGTGCATTATATATGGCCTAGTATTTTATAAAATTGATTAGGTCCAATTTTGCAACAAATATATGATAGGTCCTTAACAAAAAAACTCATTTTGGGCACTCGGAAAAATGGAAAATGATTTTTTCGTGCAAAGAAAATGAAAACTTCCTTAGGCAACATTGTTTGTCATTCCAAGATGCACTCTTGTGCATGATATGAGGCCATTTAAACAAACTATGCCATGAATGTGGCCATAAGAATGATCATTTGGCTTGATAGCCATGAATCTTCATGCATGATAGCTCATTTCTGAGAACACTTTTTTATAAGAATTGTTGTATTACAAGTTTATTATTTTTCCTGGAAACTTGGTCACATATAATGACACAATGCGAAGGTTTTCCAATTTTTTTTTAATTTTTTATGCCCGTTTCAAAATGCGGTCAAAACGGTGGGCTTGACCGTTCCTAGCTAGTGGTTGAATCTTGGAAAACTTTTGATGTTTCTATGATTAAATAGATACTTATGTACCTAGAAATGATTTTTGGAAAAAATAAAGAGCAAATTGTGAGGCAGCTGCAGTTCAAATTTGACCCGCTTCCAACTAAATCGGCGGACATTTGTCTTTTTCACCAGAGGTGGATAAAAACTTTTTACACCCAACCATTTGGTCAATTGTGCATTAAATATGGCCTAGTATTTTATAAAAATGATTTGGTCCAATTTTGCAATAATTATTTGGTAGGTCCTTCACAAAAAAACCTCATTTGGGGCACTCGAAAAATGGAAAATAACTCTTCTGTGCAATGAAAGTTAAAACTCCCTTAGGCAACATTGTTTTGAATTCTAAGATGTACCCTTGTGCACAATATGAGATCATTTGAACAAACTATGCCATGAATGTGGCCATAAGATTGATGATTTGTCTTGAAAGCCATGAATCTTCACGCATGATAGCTCATTTCTGAGAAAACTTTTTAAAATAATTGCCGTATTACAAGTTTATTATTTTTCCTGGAAACTTGGTCACTTATGATGACACAATGCGAAGGATTTCCAATTTTTTGACTTTTGTTGAATTTTTTATGCCCGTTTCAAAATGCGGTCAAAACGGCGGGCTTGACCGTTCCTAGCTAGTGGTTGAATCTTGGAAAACTTTTGACGTTTCTCCAATGAAATAGATACTTATGTACCTATAAATGATTTTTGCAAAAAATAAAGAGCAAACTATGAGGCAGCTGCAGTTCAAATTTGACCCGCTTCCTACTAAATCAGTGGGAATTTGTCTTTTTCACGAGAGGTGGATCAAAATTTTTGACACCCAACCATTTTGTCAATTGTGCATTAAATATGGCCTATTATTTTATAAAATTGATTTTTTTTCCAATTTTGCAACAAATATATGGTAGGCCCTTCACAAAAAAACTCATTTCGGGCACTCGAAAAATGGAAAATGAATTTTCCGTGCAAAGAAAATGAAAACTCCTTAGGAAACATTGTTTGGAATTCCAAGATGCACCCTTGTGCACAATATGAGATCATTTGAACAAACTATGCCATGAATGTGGTCATAAGCTTGATCATTTGGCTTGAAAGCCATGAATCTTCACGCATGATAGCTCATTTCTGAGAACACTTTTTTTAAAATAATTGTCGTATTACAAGTTTATTATTTTTCCTGGAAACTTGGTCACATATGATGACACAATGCGAAGGTTTTCCAATTTTTTGATTTTTTTTGAATTTTTTATGCTTGTTTCAAAATGCGGTCAAAATGGCGGGCTTGACCGTTCCTAGCTAGTGGTTGAATCTTGGAAAATTTTTGACGTTTCTCCGATGAAATAGATACTTATGTACCTAGAAATGATTTTTGGAAAAAAATAAAGAGCAAACTATGAGGCAGCTGCAGTTCAAATTTGACCCGCTTCCTGCTGAATCGGCGGGAATTTGTCTTTTTCACGAGAGGTGGATCAAAACTTTTTACACCCAACCATTTGGTCAATTGTGCATTAAATATGGCCTAGTATTTCAGAAAAATGATTTGGTTCAATTTTGCAACAAATATATGGTAGCTCCTTCAGAAAAAAATTATTTTGGGCACTCGAAAAATGGAAAATTGATTTTTCATGCAAAGGAAATGAAAACTCCCTTTGTCAATATTGTTTGCAAATCCACGATGTAAACTTGTGCAAAATATGATATCATTTGAACAAATATTTGGTAGGTCTGTTTAAAAAACTCATTTTGAGCATTGAAAAATGAAAAATGATTTTTTCGTGAAAACCTTATCTTTGATTACAACCTATTTAGATGGTCATAAGGTCTTCAAATTGTTTGTTGTGTTCTGATTGGTCTATAGACATCTCACGCAGATCGTTCATCAAACACCGTCTGATTGTCCAGGATCCAACGGCTGCCTTCACCCCCTCACGTCTCACCCACTTAACCCTAACACAACCCGTCTCACCCCCTCACCATCTCCCTCGCTCAGATCTCGATCCGCCGCCGCCGCCCCCCAACCCAGCCCCACCTCCACCGTCGACGACCCTCACCGTAGACGAGGTCGATGCTGACCCAAGATCGAGCCCATGCCCAGACTCACGAGTGAGGCCCCGCGGAGCTGCCCACAAACTGCTCCTCTTCCCCAACCCCCAATTCCTCTCCAATCTCCGCTGTCGCCGCCGATCCCCACCCCCATCGGCGACCTCGTCTCCCCGTCCCCCCATCCCCACCCCACCGCCGACCGACCTCCCTCCACATCTTGTCCATCCACCCATGGAAACCCCCTCTTCCATGCATCCACCCACCCACGCCCACCAGTTCTGGCGATGGATGGGGCACACCAGTTCTAGCGATGGATGGGGCGCACCAGTTCTGGGATGGCAGCGCCGGACCCGCACCCACCTGTGCGATGGAGGTTGGCCGCATCGGGATCCACCTACGCGATGGAGGCCGGCCAGATCGGTGTGGCGCGACACACCACACCGGAGCTTGCTGCTGTGCTGGTCGTCGACAACGACGCAACTCCGACGGGACCTAGACGCCCAAGGTACGTACACCGTTCTTGCCAACTCTTCCATCTCCTCTCATGCGTGGCTTGCGTGCTACAGATTTAACCCCGCATCCTTCCTTCCTTGTGTTCGCGGAACGACAATGGCAAGGGGACGACCGATGTGCGTGGTGGACCAGGAGGTGGAGAACCGTCTCGCCCTCCTTGTTCACATCACCTTCCCTTTGCTTTCCCTTGGACACTTGGAGAGAGAGAAGGAAGATGGCGGACAAGGGGATGGCCAACTGCATCGACATCATCCTCGCCATCATCCTGCCGCTGCTCGACGTCTTCCTCAAGTTCGCCTGCGGGGTGAGTTGCCCGAGCTTTGTCCCAGTCCCGTGCTAGCTGCATGTTTAAACTTCACAGTAGGTTCCCTCCTAAGCGTGATTCCGTCGAGAGTTGGGTTAACTGACTGCTAGTGTTGAACGTGCTTTTGCAGATCGAGTTCTGAATCTGCTTGCTGCTCACCTTCTTCGGCTACCTCCCTGGCATCATCTACGCCGTCTGGGTCATCACTAAGTAGGTGTCGGAGGGGCTCCTCACCTCTGGCTGCCTCTAGGTATGCATTCACCGATGCACCTTGGGGGAACATGTCATGTTTCCCGGTTATTTTCTGTTCAGTACAGTCCTCTGCAGAATTTACAAAAGCAATTTTTACTGTATGAAGAAACTAAACTGAAAGTGCTAGTGATCGACTAGAGGGGGGGTGAATAGGCGATTTTTATGGAAGTCTTCAAAACATGGAAGTTTTGAAGACAAACGATAGAAATAAACCTATTACCATGCAGCGGAAGGTAGACTACACTAAGCTAGCCATAGTGAAGTATTCAATGAAATGAAACCATAAAGACTAATAGCAGCTAGGCAGTATAGATCAGGATGGAAGATAGTATGAAGCCAATCAGAACAAGCAGTCACACAATGAAGACAAAATAACTAATGCAAACATGCAATGACTTCACAAGGACGAATCAGCACATAAAGAGATGGGAAGGATGGAACCAGTGGCTCGTTGAAGACAGTGATTTGTTGGACCAGCTCCAGTTGTTGTGACAACTGTACGTCTGGTTAGGGAGGCTGAGATTCAACTCAGAAGACCGTGTCTTCACCTTATTCCCCTTGAGATAAGGACACCCAGTCCTCGCCCAATCACTCTGGTAAGTCTTCAAGGTAGACTTCCAAACCTTCACAGACTTCGTTCACCGGCGATCCACAATGACTCTTGGATGCTCAGAACGCAACGCCTAACCGGCTGGAGGATTCACAGTCCTCAAGTGTAATAAGTCTTCAGATCACACAGACAGGAAGACTTAAGTGATGCCTAACACTCCTTGGCTCTGGGTGTTTAGGGCTTTGTCCTCGCAAGGAATTCTCTCTCAAAGGCTCGAGGTGGGTTGCTCTCAAACGACAAAAGTCGTACACTAACTCTGAGCAGCCAACCGTTTATGGTTGTAGGGGGGTGGGCTATTTATAACCACTAGGCAACCCAACCTGATTTGTCCGAAATGACCCTGGGTCACTAAGGAACTGGCACGTGTTCCAACGGTCAGATTTCAAACACACACGGCAACTTTACTTGGGCTACAAGCAAAGCTGACTTATCCAGCTCTGGATAAGCTTTGCTCTCAGTGTCTTCGCTCGAAGACATAGGATTTTGGTTAAGCATCACTTCAGTCATTCTGACTGGTTCATTTGGACCCCACTTAACAGTACGGTGGTTCCTATGACTCAACAAAGAAGAAAAAGAACGACGAAACAACTAAGTCTTCGCGCTCCATAGTCTTCACGCAATGTCTTCTCTTGTCATAGTCTTTAATGTGAATGTCTTCACATACCACCTTTGACTTCAATGTCTTCATACATTTTTAGGGGTCATCTCTGGTAGGAAAACCGAATCAATGAGGGACTTCTACCTGTGTTATCTTGCAATTCTCACATACACATTAGTCCCTCAACCAGGTTTGTCATCAATACTCCAAAACCAACTAGGGGTGGCACTAGATGCACTTACAATCTCCCCCCTTTTGGTGATTGATGACAAACTGGTTGAAGTTTTCAACGGGGAATAAAATATGTGAAATTGTAAAGGATAGGGTATTGTCTTCATAAGTGGCAAAGGCTCCCCCTGAAGATGTGCATATAAGTAATTTGCTCTTGGAATGCAAATGCACATGGCAGGTTGTACTTGTGGAGATCCTCTTCAACTTATGATGACAATTCATCATGCATGATTTGATGTAACGAAGATAATGGCATGCATAATGAAAAATGGACATCTGCAAAATGACCTAAGTGCGGAAGTTATCATCGCACATGCGGAATTTATCATCGCATCACAGAATAGCAAATAAGTAGCAGACGACCATCGAGTTTAAGTGTTACAACTCAAAGAACCAAATGTATCGAAAAGCAAGAGTTGTAAGCACTTGGTAAAAGTAGCAAAAGGTAAGCAACCACCCATATGGACCCACTTGAAGACTATCAACTCATATGCTTCTCCCCCTTTTGTCAGTAAGGACCAAAAAGGTTTGAAGACATAGAGCGCCTACTCGTTCCCATGAGGTGCAGGCGAGGCAGCAGGGTCGTCGTTGAGGTCCGGTGGTGCAGAAGAACTTGGTGCAGTGTCGACATGCGTTCAATTTGGAGGAGGTGAAGTTGCATCATCTTGGTCATCGATAACTCTGGCATTCACTGTCGCAGTTGAGGACGAATAGTTAGAGTCTTCAAGTGAGGGAGTCCTACGCAAGTGAGCATTCCATGGAGGAGTTGAGTCAAACTTGAATCTTTCGGTGAAGCCATCGTCCTGCAGATCAGCTTCAGCACTAAGCAAAGTCAAACTCTTCCACGACCTCCGACAGGTTTCATGAGTGACAAAGGCATTCTTGGTGGCAAGATTGTGTATGCGGTTTACATCCACCAAGAGGCTTTGCATATGATGCTTCAGCCAGTTGTGATGCTTGTCCTGTTTCTGGTGTAGCGCGACGATAAGCTCTCGGTCATTGGGAACAAGAGATCACCTTCGAGGCCTTTGCGCAATGGTGCGACCAGTGGCGTCAGTTTGAGCGCGAGGGGCACGTGTGTTGCCAGCTAAGGGATAAACACGCGAGACTTCCTAAACTCCTTCAATGGGCTGGGTGAAGTTTCGGTGATCAGCATTGTGAAGATAAATGGGATCCTTAGCAGGCTCTGGGTAAATAACTTCAACAGACAGATCAACCTCTGGCAAGGAGACAAGATGATTGCACGCAGACGGCTGATAGTTAATGGCAGAGTGAAGCTTGATAAGGCGCATTACCCATGGAGCATAGGACTTCAGACCAAAAATGTCGAAGCCAGATGTAGCCAACTACCTAATGAAGAAGTCTTGAGCATTGAAGTTGATGCCATTGAAGATGTACAAAACCAAAGTCTTCATTGCTCCTTCAAGCTTCACTGCAGATGAATGTCCTTTGATAGGCCATAGAGTTTTTCTGAGGATGTGATAAATGGTGCGAGGCAGATACTCTAGGTCTTCAACAAAGAATTCAGATGGGTATTCAGCGTCGTGAGGCAAAGGCTTCATCATGCTCAACATTTGACTCATGTTGGGTTCTGGCTTCTGAAAAATGCTCTCCAAAGCATTCTGGTGTTGTTGACAACCTGGCTCATAGTATTCACTAGGAGTGGGCAGGCCTATGAGCTCAATGATATCAAGAGCTTTGGCTTCATGATGGACATTGCCTATCATCCACTCAAGGACCCAAGTGTTTGGATCCCTCTTGTAGCCTCGAATGTGAAGAGTTGCATAGAACTGTAGCAGAAGCTCTTCATTCCAGTGTTCCTTATATGTGACAAACTGCAGGAGTCCAGCGTCTCTGAAGCAATCCAACGCTTCTTCAAGGCAGGGCAGGCCAGCTATAGCTTCAGTGTCGAGATGCATATGTGGAAATATGTTCCCTTGATTGTATAAGACGCAGGAATAGTAGTTGCGTTGCTGATAGCTCCAGAACCAATCTGATGAAATGCAAGGTTTGGTGTAAGGGTTCTTGGCACTGTTGAAGAAGGTGTTGTGTGCCACGAAGCCATTCACATTGAAGACCCCAGGTGAAGTTGTAGTGCCTGGGAATCGTGGAAGTCTTGGCTTGGGCTTCTGGATGGGAGGTCTGTGCTCGACATGATAGTTAAATTATGGGCCCGCAGTAGGTGGAGGAACCAGAATGGGCCATCGGACCATAACAGGCTGACCACGATCAAATGCCAACTCAATTGTATGAGGTCTTGGAGGGGGTACAGGAGCATTGACATTGTCATTGATACGGGCTTCAGGGGCCACATTGGCTTCAGGTGCTTTAGTATTGGCTTCGGGCGCTGCAGTGGCTTCAGGTGCATGCACTTCTGGCACCGCAGTAGCTTTAGGCGCCACATTAGCTTCAGCCATGACAACGTCATTGGCTTCAGTGTTGATGTTGGTGGCCGCCTCAGGATTGTTAACCTCCACTTCAGGAGCTGGAGGGTCGGACACGTTCTCCTCGAGAACAACATCTTGGTGGGACGGGGGTGTAGCAACTCTTTCTACTTCAACTCATGGTTCTTCTTATTCATCGGCTGATGCAGTCGGAATATCTTCAGCCGTTTTGGCTTCAGAGTCTGACACGTGCACAGTGGGAGGGACTTGGGGCCTTGGTCCTTTGCGAAGCCTGCGTAATGCTGACGATGCTTGCGGAGATGGAGTTTGCTGGGCCTCAAAGTCATCGTCATCTTGCACGGGTGAGGTGACTTGTGGTTGGGGAGAACTTGGGGTGTCTTGTTGTTGTGGGTGATCAGCCCACGATGCATCCTGAGCAATTGGCATCAGAGGACGACCAATGCTGATGAGTTCTCTATGCGTGAGCACAGGCGATAATACCAACTGGTGCTCGATCTGAGGAAGGACTTCATCATCTTCAACATTGTCCTGAGGACCAATGTCTTCAACTACGGTGGGGTCAACAACTAGATTGTCTTCAGCTTCAGGAGCCTTTGTGGAAGCAGGCTCATGAACTATCACTTGGCGTTCTTCATGTTCAGACGCAGGACGAGCCACTGAGATTGGCTCGACATCAAGGGGCTTGGTGGGTGTGACGCCCCCGATTCAATCATACACTAATCATACATGCAAACGTGTACGGTCAAGATCAGGGACTCGCGGGAAGATATCACAACACAACTCTACAACTAAAATAAGTCATACAAGCATCATATTACAAGCCAGGGGCCTCGAAGGCTCGAATACAAGAGCTCGATCATAGACGAGTCAGCGAAAGCAACAATATCTGAGTACGGACATAAGTTAAACAAGTTTGCCTTAAGAAGGCTAGCACAAACTGGGATACAGATCGAAAGAGGCGCAGGCCTCCTGCCTGGGATCCTCCTAAACTACTCCTGGTCGTCGTCAGCGGGCTGCACGTAGTAATAGGCACCTCCAGTGTAGTA